CATGGAAGCTAAATACCACGTTATTGAATGATGAATGGGTTAGCATGGAGATCAAAGAAGAAATTAAAAAATTCCTGGAAACCAATGAAAATGAACACACAACACAAAATCTATGGGATGCAGGGAAAACAGTTCTGAGAGGGAAATTCATAGCACTACAGGCCTACCTCTAGAAGCAAGAAAAATTTCAGAATATCTAACCTCACAACTTAAAGAACTAGAAAGCAATCAAAACCCCAGAGCAAGTAGAAGGAAGAAAATAGTAAAGATGAGAGCAAAAATAAATGAAATGGAGACCAAAAAAAATAATAATAATTCAAAGGATCAATGAAACAAAGAGCTGGTTTTTCAAAAAGATAGACAAGATTGATGGACCCGTAGCTAGACTCACCAAGAAACAGAGAGAACCCAAATACACAAAATCAGAAATGAAAGAGGAGAAATGATAACTGACATCACAGAAATACAACAGATTGTTAACAAATGTTATGAACAATTATACAGCAACAAATTTGACAATCTAAGCGAAATAGACAAATTTCTAGAAACACAGAGTCTTCCAAAACTGGACCAAGAAGAGAGAGAAAACTTGAACAGACCAATAACAACAGAAGAAATTGTAGATGTAATCAGGACTCTCTCAGCAAACAAAAGCCCAGGCCCAGATGACTTCATAGGGGAGTTTTACTGAAAATTCAAAGAACTAACACCCATTCTCCTCAAACTATTTCAAAAATTCAAGAAGAAGGAAGACTTCCAAACTTGTTTTATGAAACCAGCATAATTCTAATTCCAAAACCAGAAAAAGACATTACAAAAAAAGAAAACTACAGGCCAATTCCCTGATGAACATAGACGCCAAAATCCTGAACAAAATACTAGCAAATCGGATCCAGCAATACAACAAAAAAATTATTCACAATGACCAAGTGGGATTCATCTCAGGGATGCAAGGCTGGTACAATATTCACAAATCAATAAACGTGATACACCACATAAATAAAATGAAGAATAAGCACCACTTGATCATATCAATAAATGCCAAAAAAGCTCGACAAAATCCAGCATCCATTTCTGATAAAAACGCTCAGCAGTATGGGAATAGAGGGATCATATCTCGACATAATAAAAGCCATATATGAAAGACCTACAGCCAACATCATACTCAATGGGCAAAAACTAAAAGCATTTTCCTTAAGAACAGGAACAAGACAAGGATGCCCACTTTTGCCACTCTTATTTAACCTAGTACTGGAAGTCTTAGCCACAGGAATCAGACAGGAAAAATAAATAAAAGGAATCAAAATTGGATAGGAGGAAGTGAAACTGTCATTATTCCTAGATGACATGCTATACATAGAAAACCACAAACACTCCATCAAAATTTTTCCAGACTTAATAAATGAATTTGGCAAAGTAGCAGGATACAAAATTAACATCAAGAAATCAATGGCATTCTTATACACTAATGATGAACTCACAGAAAGAGAAACTAAGAAAACAATCTCATTTATCATTGGGCCAAAAAATTAAGATACCTAGGAATAAACTTAACCAAGAAATAAAGGACTTCATCACAGAAAACTACAGGTCATTGAAAAAAGAAATACAGGAAGATATGAAAAAGTGGAAGCACATACCCTGTTCATGGATTGGAAGAATTAACATCATTAAAATGTTAGTACTACCCAAAGCAATCTATAGATTCAATGCAATCCCCATCAAAATACCAATGACATACTTCACAGAACTAAAACAAATACTTCAAAAGTTCATGTGGAACCAAAAAAGACCCCAAATAGCCACACCAATCTTGAAAAAGAAGAACAAAGTTGGAGGGATCATATTACCAGATTTCAGGTTATACTACAAAGCCACTCTAATCAAAATGCCTGGTACTGGCACAAGAACAGGCATATAGACCAGTGGAACCTAACAGAGAACCCAGAAATGGACCCAAGGCAATATGCTCAATTAATATTTAACAAAGGTGGCAAGAACATACAGTGGAGTAAAAACAGCCTCTTTAATAAATGGTGTGGGGAACATTGGACAGCTACATGCAAAAAAATGAAACTAGACCATCAACTTATACCATACACAAGAATAAACCCAAAATGGATAAAAGACTTAAATGTGACTCATGAATCCAAAAAAATCTTAGAAGAAAATGTAGGCAACAAAATTTCAGACATCATATGCAGCAGAATTTTCACTGATACATCACCTAAGACAACGGAAACAAAGGAGAAAATGAACACATGAGACTACATCAAACTCAAAAGCTTCTCCACAGTGAAAGATACAGTCATCAAAATGGAAAGGCTACCCACTGTATGGGAGAGCATAATTGCCAATGATATATCAGATAAGGGGCTAATTTCCTATATATAGAGAGTGCTCATGCAACTCCACAAAAGGAAGACAAAGAACCCAATTTAAAAATGCGCAGAGGAACTAAATAGACACCTCTCCAAACAGGACATACAAATGGCTAAGAGACATATGAAGAAATGCTCAACATCACTAATCATCAGAGAGATGCAAATTAAAACAACAAGGTATCACCTCACACCTGTCAGAACGGCCACCATCACCAAATCATCAAACAACAAGTGTTGGCAAGGGTGTGGAGAAAAGGGAACTCTAGTACACTGCTGGTGGGAATGCAGACTGGTGCAGCCACTATGGAAAACAATATGGTGTTACCTCAAAAAATTAAAATTTGAACTTCCTTTTGACCCAGTGATCCCACTTTTAGGAATATACCCTAAGAAGCCTGAAACACCAATCAGAAAGAATATATGTATCCCCATGTTTGTAGCAACACTATTTACAATAGCTAAGATCTGGAAACGGCCCAAGTGTCTGTCCATCAGTATACGAATGGATTAAAAAGCGCTGGTACATATACACAATGGAGTACTATGCTGCTGTAAGAAAGAAAGATTTCTCATCCTTTGAGACGACATGGAAGGACCTGGAAAGTATTATCCTAAGCGAAACAAGCCAAATACAGAAAGACAAGTATCATATGATCTCACCTATTTGTGAAATATAATGAACATAACAGTCTGAGGAATGGGGTCGTCCCAGAGACGTGGAAGTGGGGTACACACTGACAATCCCCAGAAGAGGGGGTGGTGGTTGAGAGATAAACCACAGAACTTATATGCATATATGCATGAACATAGGTCATGGACAACAAAGCTGGGGACAGTGTGGGGGAATCAATTGGGGGAAAAGGAGAAACATCTGTAACAAAAATAAAGAAATTAAAAATAAATAAATACTGAATTATCATTTTGACTATGTCAATTCCTTTGAAGTATACTTTGGATGTGTTAATGATGAGAGTGTCACTTTATTTTTCATAAACTGAGAACTTACACCAAGATAATTATTTTCATATCAGTATTATAGTAAGAAGTAAAATTTTTACTAAATTTTCCAATTAGCTCATTGGGGTTTTTGTTGTTGTTGTTGTTTTTACCATCACCCTAGGACATTTTTTTTTATTTTTTGTTCAGCTAGAGTGGGAGAGAGAGAGAGGAAGAGAGAGAGAGAAAGAAACATCGATGTGAAAGAGACACATCAGGTGGCTGCCACCCGCACGACCCAACCAGCGCAGGGGACAAACTGCAACCGAGGTACATGCCCTTAGCGGGAACCCAACCCCAGTCCCTCTGGACCACAGGCCGACAATCTAACCGCTGAGCCAAACTGGCCAGGGTTAGCCCATTTGTTTTAAAGGTCCTTTTTCAGTTGACTTCTGAACGTGAATTTCTTGTCCTCCTGCTTCTTTTTATCCCACTCTGCCCCTACCCCAGTGTTTTGGATAGACACATAACCTTTTATTTATTATATGAAAATGAATTTATGTTTATGTTTGTGCACCTGGATACTGAAAAACACTAATTCCTCTAGGACTTGGTAATTGTCTGCTTTAATAAAAAATAAAATAAGATGAAAACAGGAAAAGAAGACAAAGGAATCAGGACTAAGTTTTTATTTTTTAACTTCCAGCAAACTCTGGAGAGATGGAATAACATTGAAATGGAACTACTGGTTCAACTATGGTCCTCTGAGATATTTGTTTGGAATTGTGCAAACTTCTAAACTGAATATCAGTAATTTGTAATGTAAAAATCTGGATTCAGTTCTCATTGGACTGAACTTTTTTAATCCAATGACAATTAGAGATAACTAATTTGTGAGGGGACATTTAATTGGTTTTAACATTGTAATTAGGAAAAATTTTAAGGTTTTTTTATTGATTTTTTTTTTTTTTAGAGAGATTAAGGAAGAGAGACCAAAACATCGATTGGTTGCCTCCAGTACATGCCCCAACCGGGGATCTAACCCAAAACCCGGGTGTGTACCCTGACTGGGAATTGCACCCATCACCTTTTTGGTGTGTGGGACAATGCTCCAACCAACTGAGTCACCAGCCCAGAGCTAATTATGAAAAATTTCAAACATAAACAAAAGTATACAGGATAGTATGATGATTACTCATATACCCACTACCTATATTTTATTTATAATTGTTAACATTTGCCATATTTATTTCATCTGTATTCATCTAAGTATCTCTCTATTTATGACCTATTTGAAATTAAATTGAGACATAGTGCTTTCACCAAAATACTTAACCATAAAACTCCTAGATATAAATCATTATTCTATACAACAAAACCAAGAAAATATAATTTTTCCTTAACATCATCCTATACATACTTATACTAAAATTGTCCTAATAATCTCTACATTTTAAAATAATTACCATTTTTAAACCAGGATATAAATCAAAGTTCACAATTGCATTTGGCTATTATGTTTCCTTAGTCTCTTGTGAAATAGAACAATCCCTGCAACTTTTCTTAAATCTTTATTTATTAACTTTTTGAAGAGACTAGTCCTAAATTCTGAATTTGTCTGGAGAAGAGTCAACATATTAGTTATGTATTTCTGTGTAACAAATTACCTCTATCGTAGAAGCTGATGCCAGCAAACACTTATTAGTTCACACCGTTTCTGAGAATGAGAAATCTAGAAGCAGTTTAGCTGGGCAGGTCTGGCTCAGAACCTCTCATGAGGTTGCAGTCAAGGTGTCATCTGGTACTGCAGTCTTCTGATGGTGTGACTGGTGCTGGGGGATCCACTATCAGCAACTCACTCATGTGGCTTTTGACAGGAGCACTCAGTTTTTTGTTGTCTACTTTTTAAAAAAAAAATTTAATATATCAAAAGGCTTGATTTAGTGACATGCTAATCCTCTAGAAAATAACTATATACCCCTTGGCCAGTAATGTGCATGCTCCAGGTGACCAGCCAACTCATAATTCTAAACTATTGGGTATACATGTGTCCTTAAATCAAAGCCACAGGGCTCTAGTGACTGCTGCTGGTATAAGATGCTTCCTCCTGTCACCCAACCAGTGTCCACCTGCTCCAGAGGGCAGCAGGGCACAAAGAAACCCTTAAATGGTAGTGACAGTGTACCAGCCACCCTCAGCCCCCACTCAGAAGAAGAGCCTTATTTCTATCCAGACAACTGGCCTCAAATTTGGCTCCCAGTGACCAGAATGATTTTTCTCCTTTAGAAAAAACATGCATATCTGTACACCCAGCTATGTATAATTTTTTTTCTTTTTGTATTTAAATACAAAACACTACTCTGCTTTTGTGTTATAAATGAGGACCAAGCAGTGAGAAATTATTCTTCTCGGGTAAGGCTGTCCATGCCATCCCTTTATGCTGAGCTTGTCTTCTAGTGAGGGCATTTAGCCCCAGGCCAGGAAGCACACCAGGTAAGAGGGCATCTTCCTGCCTGATTCCCACACTTGCCTCACTCCTAATTCTCATTTTAATTAGAAACTATTTATAACCTCTTAAAAAATGGAAGTGCCCATCAAGAGGGAACATCTAACCTAACCACGGAGTAAGCCCAGCCCCCACCCTATCCCCTTCAACTACCTGGAAGAAGAAAAAGATCCTTCCCCGCCCTACACAAATACTGTGCTCACTGTCCAGATTGCTCACTTGTTGGACAGCACCTGATGAATCCCCACTAATGCATTAGAAAGCTTCAGTGATTTGGGGAAAAGGAAGGGTGTGTGTGTGTGTGTGTGTGTGTGTGTGTGTGTGTGTGTGTGTGGAGAGAGAGAGAGAGAGAGAGAGAGATTAAGAACTTGACTCCTTTATCCTGGCCAAAGAATGCAAGCGATATTAACTGGGCACAAAGAATAATAAAAGACCTTGATATTCAAGGTCTTTGAGTTACAGCTGTTATAACAACTGAGAGGGGGATGAGAGTGAGGCAGGATGTAGAATTAATCAGAAGGGGTTCAGTGGCTGCAAGTCTAGTCCACTTAGTTTTATACTGGAAGGGCTCATCTGTATTGCGAAGGGGGTACAGTTGGAAGAGGAGCACTGGTCTGCAAAGTAACCCTTCTTCTCCTAGCCAACAGCCCAGGAATGAGGAATCTAGCTCTACAGTTGGCCACACTGCTGGCAGAGAATTCACTGATGTTGGAGGTTTCTTTGAATCCAGTTAGGTGCCGAGGATTGTTCCAGGCCCTGCTTGGGATCACATGCTAGGATATGGTGCTGGTGCCGCTTGCTCAGCCTCTCGACAGACTCTTTAGTACACTTCAAACCATGGCCTTGGCGCTGAAGGAGGGCTTAGTTTTTTGCGATGTGGTCTCTCCATAGGGTTGCTAACAACATGGCAACTGACAGTTGCAATCCACAGTAAGCAATCCAAGAGAAAGACATACACACACATGCTCATGCACACACACACACACACACACACACAGAGACTGACCAAGCTGAGAGCTAAAGTATTTTTATAACTTCATCTTGGAAGTGATATAGTGTTAACTTCTGCCAAATTCTCTTGGTCATAGGGACCAGCACTAGTGCAGTATGAAAAGGCATGTAAGGGTATGAATACCAATAGGCAGATACCATGGCATGCCAACCTAGAGACTGACCACTACAGCCACATTTGGGATTTGTCTTGTTTCTTTGTGTTGTTATTAGATGTGTTCCTTTATTTCTCCAATATTTTCTATACATTGAAAGTTGCGTATATCATTATGTGCGAAAATGTTTCTTACAAATTATACAGTGTATTTCATATTGCATGACTTCAGGAGGTATGTAATGTCAGGTTATCTTACTTGGCTAAGATGATCTGTTACCCTTTGTAAAAGTTTTCCCCCCTTTGCAATTAAAAAGTAACCTGTGAGTTGATATTTTGGCCCTTACTAGATATTCTGTTCTTTGTGCAAGAATTTGAATTTCATGTGATTTTTTTTTTTATATCAGTAGCTAACTTTTTGTTCTCTTATCTGCTAAGTGCTTTTAAATACATTGCTTCATTTTAATTTCCACAGTGCTATGCGATAGATACTTTTAATTATCCTTATTTATAGATAAGAAAAAATTAAGCCCCTAGAGTTTATACATTAAGGTGCACAACAAGTAAATGGAAATACCAGTATTTAAATTCAGGTATGTCTGACTCCAGAACTCATGTTATTGACAGTAATGCTTATAGAAGGAATGAGAGAACTTACACATAGAACTTCACACAGTGGAGAAAGGAGGTCTCCTGAAAGTACAGGGAGGAACCCAGGTGCTAAAGGAGTAAGCTGTTGAGATGGATATCCATGGTTCTACTACGTGTGTGACATTGTGGGCAGAATTCCCTAGCTTAAAATCAGAATTATGACTAAACTATTCTAGGCAGATGAGAAACTATTATTTTAAAGATTTCTAGAGGCTGTTGTAATACTCAAGAACTCATTCCTTGGCAAAAATAAAAATTATTTTTTACTCTAGAAATAGAATTTTGATGTGAATTTACATATATCTGATGCATAGTTGTGGTTACAACTATAACATAATGTTAAGATTAAGGAAAGTATTTCAACGATTCCAGGCAGAGTTTTATTGTTGGGGGAAAAGGAACAGAGGGAGGAGGAAAGAAATGTGCCTCAGTGGAAAAGAAAAGAGAATCATTTGCTCTGTTACGGTCAGACCTCGGAAGCAGGCCGACAGATAGTGTTTTTGGAGATAATGAAAATATTCTATCTGTGGCTTGAAGCTACCAGATTGAACTATGCAACTTAGAAGGGTAATTATAAATTCCAGTGGAATTTAAAGTTTCTTAATAGTTTCTGTTCATCTCAGATACATACATTTCTCTTTTTGTACTAGTAAGGAAATGTGGAATCTTAGAAATCATGGAGCTTTAGAATTGGAAAGACTCTTCTAAAATAATTATATAGATCCTCCCATCATTCTTTTTTATTTTATGAATAAAGAGCCTAAGACTGAGCAAGATTGTATAGTTTAGATTATACAGAAAGGGAGTGTTAGAGCCAGGGCTGGGGCCCAGGTTTTCACTGTCCCTCTAGCCTCAATTTTTCTCTCATCTCTGGCCTTAAAAAAAGAGAGTAGATGAAAAAGAGGCCAATGTAATCAAGCACAGAACATTCAGAAAAAGAACAGCAAAAGTGCCTGCTTGTTCTCTGAGGCATTGAAAGTAAGCACCTAGAAATGTGGGTAACCTCTTTTAGTTCTGAGAAGAGTAACCTTTGGGAAAAGATCAGGATGATTGTCCTTAGAGATTGTATTCCTGAGACTATCCACTCTGCCTTGGTGTAGGAAGTAGGATAGAGCTACTGTTGATGGGCTTGGATAAAGTTGGCTATGTATTCCTAGGATCTATGAAAATAATATGAAAAAAGGCTGGCCTGCAACACTCTTCTATCTACCCCCACGTGAAGCCTCAGGATTAACCCCTTTCAAAAACTGATGGAAAAAGTATGTCCCTCTTTCCTTCCAGTCTTTGCCTTACCCTGTTATTGGTTATTCACAATCTCATTCTCACAGTTCTAACACACACCTCAGGTGACTAGAAGGAACACCACTCTGAACTAAATCTGAGGGCAGTGATCCTTAGAGTGTGGTCCTGGAATCAAGAGCATCAGCATCACCAGAGAATACGTTTGAAATATTGATTATAGAGCCCCACCCCATATTGAATCAAAGATTCTAAGACTGGCCCTGGCCAGTTTGGCTCAGCAGTTAGAGCGTAGGCCCACAGACTAAAGAGTCACAGGTTCGAGGGCACGTACCTCGGTTGCGATTTGATCCCTGGTCCTGGTTGGGGTCATGTGGGAGGCAACCTATTGATGTCTCTCTCTCACATCGATGTCTCTCTCTCTCTCTCTCTCTCTCTCTCTCTCTCTCTCTCTCTCTCTCCCTCCCTCCCTCCCTCCCCCCCCCTTCCCACTCTCTCCGAAAATCAATGGGAAAACATCCTTGTGTGAGGATTTAAAAAAAAATTCTAAGACTTCCCAGCCAGTGTGGTTCAGTTGGTTGAGCATCGTCCCATGCACAAGGAGGTTGCCAGTTTGATTCCCAGTAAGGCACATGCCCAGGTTGTGGGCTCGATCTCAAGTAGGGGCCTTGCTTGAGGTAGCCAATCAATGTTTCTCTCTCATTGATGTTTCTATCCCTTGCTCCATCTCCCTTCCCCTCCCTGAAATTAATAAACACATATTTTAAAAATTCTAGGACTAGGGCCCAGAATTCTGTATTTTAACAAATTCTATATGTGATTCAGATTCAGGCTAAATTTGAGAACCACTGTTCTAGGGTACTCTCTAGGCAAAGTCTTATTATCAGAAGTGGTTAAGCCATAGACAGGTAGTATAGCCCAGGGAACCAGATTCAGGTAATACAGTTAATCCTTAGCAACACTGGGAGTGCAATTTCCAGGCTTCTTCAGGATTACTAAATGTCTGCCTCTAGTAGCCCAAGCAAAAGCAAGCTAACAATAAACAGCTTTTCTTGACTTTCATGAGCTGAGTTTGTAAGACAACCGAGTGAACTAAATTCCAAAGCGAAACAAGCCCCTCTGAAAAGAGATGGGGCACATACATTGTTTCAGCTTTGGAAGAGCATAGGATGAAGATGTAATTGTCATCAGAATGAGTCTTGGATGTTGTAGACCTGAGCCAGACTTTGGTCTCAGTAAAAAAAATGAGTCATTGAGTCACTACAGATCAATATAGTCATATTTTACTCTATTTGCATTAGGTGAACCTAGGTTTAACTCTGTGCTATAAATAAGAATGGTTTTTCAGCACATACCCTTTTTTCATCTTCTTTCCCTCCTACAGAGACACAGTGAAACAG